TCCTGTGGTCAATACGGGTCAACACTGTGCTCTCTAATACTGGGGAGGATTCATTGGTGCTCCTATAATAATGATGATAATATGATAAAAGGTGTGAACTGAGATTAGGTGTGGGTGTGTAAATCCATTTACCATTTGCACCTTGAAAAAGCCACATGACAAAGAAATGTAAACATGGGCATTATGACCGCCGTTACAAGTAAACACGGGTGGCAGCGGGAGTAGAGCTCAATATAATTATTATTAATATATTTTTTTTAAACTTATTTTTTTATCTTTTTTATTTTTTTATATATATATATATATTTTTATATATTTTTTTATTTTTTTGGGGGGGGAATGGATCAGCTTAATATTGCAGATAGATTGTATCTTCTATCAATGTAATTGTCTGCATCACTTCCAATCCCCCATGTTTTTTTTATTTTTTATATATATACTCCCCTTTATTACTTTTCAACCCCACCATCCTTTCCCTACTTGGAGTAAATTAGTGAACAACAATGCCCAGGCGTCTACTTCCGGTCTATACTTACTATCTACACCTTATGGACAGAGTTCATTTTACAATAATTCTATTATATATATATTTTTATTTATATTTTTTGCTCCTGAACTTCTTCTACTCTCAACCTCTCCGATCATTTTCATGGTGTCCATCCGGTTTGCCATATCTTTCTAACTGTGCTCCTTCCCAAAAGCTCCCAACATACAACCTATATACTTATTATGGACACAGTGTGCTTACATTATTAGATATCTTTGTTATTATTTGTTGTTATTTGTTATTAGTCCCATCCTTCAACTCTATTCAATACCTCCCATCTATCTCTTAACACCATCCATATAGGATTTCTATTTGCCATATATATTTCGACCGTACTGTGATGTTTTACAAAAATTCTGAACCTTTCTATTCTCATTGCTTCTACAGATTGTGAATTAAAAATAAACATTTTTGCTAAAAGTATTATTATATTATTGATTGATTGACTATGACTTTTCAGATCACCCAGTAATGCTATCTGCAAGGTTAGTTCCAGGTAAATATTGCAATCCTTTAGCCATTCCTGGACCTGTGTCCAAAAACAAGCTACAAATGGACAGAACCAAAACAAATGATCTAATGATTCTGTCTCTTCACAGCAAAACCTGCAGAGCTGGGAAGATTGTATCCCCCATATAAATAACATTCTATTGGTAGCAAGAATTTTATATAATAATTTAAATTGAAAGATTCTAATTTTTGAATCCGGTGTCGTTTTGCGTGTCAGTTCATAAACACTATGCCATGGGATCGGTACGTCAAAGATCTCTTCCCAACTATTTTGTAATCTATATGGGACGGCTGTCAATCCTTTGGTCCTTAAGTGAAACTGATATAATTTTTTATTTATCACAGTCTTCCTTAACCAATTATGTTCTTTAATGCAAGGCCGACAGACAAGTTCCTTACTTTCTCCCCCTTCCACTTTCCTCTTCCACTTTTGCGGTAAGGCTGCAATTATTTGGTTGTAATTTTGGGTAGAGCAGACATTTCCATATGTTTTTATTAGCTGCATGTGCGACATAACTCCACCAGTCCTACCGATGATATCATTTACGAAGATTATACCTTTTTTAAACATTCTGTCAAAAAATAAAGGTTTTTTGTCAATTAGTATATTTGAATTTAACCACAATATTTGTTGCATTATTTGTTCTGTCATTTCTGGAGGATTAAATTGAAATTGCAACCAACTTTCTATGGCTTGTTTTAGAAATAGTGACATTTGGGAGATTATTTCCTTTTCAAATAACTGAAAGTGAGAGGTTGTAATCTGAATAAAGGGAAAAAGGCCTTTCTTGAACATTGGGTGAGACAATCTTACTAATTTGCTTGAGAACCAGTTCGGATTTAAGTATAACTTTTGTATGACTGAAGCTTTTAGTGATAGGTCTAATGCTTTAATATTTAATAACTTCTGTCCTCCGAATTCATATTCATTATATAAATATGCTCTTTTAATTTTGTCTGGCTTGCCGTTCCAAATAAAATTGAATATTTTTTTCTCATATAATTTAAAAAACTGTTCGCTAGGCGTAGGCAAGACCATAAGCAAATAGGTAAACTGGGATAATACTAAAGAGTTAATCAGGGTGATTTTTCCACAAATTGACAGGTATTTTCCTTTCCATGGTAGTAAGATCTTATCTATTTTTGCTAACTTTCTATTAAAATGTATTGAAGTGAGATCATTTATTTCCTTTGGGATATGTATTCCGAGTATATCCACATCACCATCAGACCATTTTATTGGTAAAATACATGGTAATGTAAAAATTGTATTTTTTTGTGATCCAATACGTAATATAGTACATTTGTCATAATTTGGTTGTAATCCAGAGAGGTTAGAAAATGTATCTAGATCCTCTATGAGGCTGTGGAGGGATTCTAGTTGTGGATTTAAAAGAAAACATGAATCATCAGCATACAATGACACCTTTGTTTTTAAGCCCTGTATTTCTAATCCTCTGATATTATTATTGGATCTGATTTTAATAGCTAACATCTCGATGGCCACAATAAATAGATATGCCGATAGTGGACATCCTTGTTTCACTCCTCTTGACAGTTTAAAACTTTCTGAGAAATAGCCATTATTTACTATTTTACACCTAGGGTTACTATACATGATTTTGACCCATTTTATAAGAGATTCTCCAAAATTGAAATGCTCCAGGCATTTATATATAAACCCCAGTCGAACTTTATCAAATGCCTTTTCGAAGTCTGCTATGAATAGCAGGCCTGGTTTCCCATATTTTCCATAGTGTTCTATTGTTTCCAATACTTGCCTTATATTATCTCCAATGTATCTTCCATGTAAAAAACCTGTCTGATTAGAATGAATAATATCCGACAATACCTTTTTAATTCTATGCGCTATACATTTTGCTAGGATTTTTGCATCACAACACTGAAGTGTAAGGGGCCTCCAATTTTGTAAATGGACTGGATCTTTATATTTTCCACTTGTATCCTGTTTCAGTAATAATGAGATCAGACCTTCTTCTTGAGTGTCAGATAATCTACCATTTACATAGGAGTGGTTAAAACATGCTAATAACGGTCCGCTTAGTATATCAAAAAAGGTTTGGTATACCTCGACTGGTATGCCATCCAACCCTGGAGTTTTCCCGGACTTAAAGTCTTTAATTGCATCCAGAAGTTCCTCCTCTGTAATTTCACCTTCACATGAGTCTTTCTGTGTGGCTGTTAATTTGACATTATCAATAGAAAAAAAATCTCTACAATTAGCTTCAGTTAGAGGAGATGGAGGCGACTGAAAAGAAAACATATGCTTAAAGTACTTTGTTTCTTCCTTCAAAATATCATTTGGTGAATTATGGGTGACTCCGTCAATTGTAACCAGTTTCATTAAGTTCTTTTTGGTAGCATTCCTATGTTGAAGATTAAAAAAGAATTTTGTGCATTTTCCCCCATATTCCATCCAGTTTGCTTTATTTTTATAATATATTACACTTGATCTTTCTTGAATAAGTTTCTCCATTTCTTTTTGTTTTTCCTTGTATTTCCTTGTAGAGCTCAATATTTGATGGCGCTGTGCTTTCTGAACAAAGTGGTCTTTGTTGACTGAATTATTCAGGAGCTCTTTATCAAGATGGCTTACTCAGTGATGGAGAGTGACAGATAGAACAGTGGTATCTTTCTGAAATCTCCTCTACTCATTATGACCGACAATAACTGTACAAAAGGATTCTAGCTGGAAGGTTTGTAGGCTATGATTTCCTATTCATTGCTTTTGAACATTGTAAGTACTGTAGATAGCGAGATGTTTACTGGTAGTAGGAGGAGACTTATGTGTGATGAGACACAGTCTATAGGAGGAGAATCATCCTTAGAGATACTAGTCCTCCAATCCTGATGAGCAGCTCAAGTCCATGTGACATCATGTGAAGATGTGAAGGCTTCACATAAAAGTGTTGTGTGCGTGCGTGTGTGTGTGTGTGTGCATGCATGTGTGTGTGTGTGTGTGTGTGTGTTTACTCCTCTGGGATAGGCACATTGAGGAGAATGAGGCAGCAGAGCACATCTGTACAATCAGATAACTATATGCCTACTTATCATTTTATCATCCAATACAAATTCATTATCATCTTTCACTGCATAATCAAAGAAAAGGGAGAGGGGTATTGAATGAAGAGCAATATGAAGAGTGACAGAGAAACAGCTGCTTTAGCCAAGCCCTAAAACCCCTTTCACACAAGTGCTTATCCAGAGTAGACAGAGCACACAAACACTCTCACACAAATATTCACTAGACTAGAATGAAACTCATACAGTAAAAGAAAAAGGAATATGTGTCCTAAAGCATTTAAAAAGGGGTTGCCTGAGAATGTTGATATTGTTATGTGAGTGTGTTTTACATGTTTAATTTGTGTTTATTGTAGGCTATATTCCAACTGTGCTTTTCAATGTCAGTTCTGTCTTCTTCAGTGTACTCTGAGTTATGGATAGCTTCTTAGTCTGTTCTAAACTAACACCAATAAGTCACACACCAATAAAAATACAACACAGATTAGCAAATCAGCAAGTTATTGATATTTATTTGCATTTTGAATTTATCACTATACAGTTCTTTATTTTTTAATAAGCACTTTATGGTTTGGCATTTCTAACATCATTACCAAATTAAAACATATTATCTTAAAACAAAAGCATGTAACGGAAATTAAATTTATAGCACCTTTTGCATTTGCAATTGCTCAAACAGCTATGACCGCACTGCCCTAAAGCTGTTTCAAACACGCTACGTGCATCCTATTTTGGTTAGCCTCCTCACGCAGAGGAGTTGTTAATGGGGTATTTCTCTTTTCCAATAGATCTGAGTTGAAAATACTAGATATGTACAGTACAGAACAGGACAGCAGTCCCTCCCTGTATACCATAGGCCTATAGTACAGTATGTCCCTACAGTACAGATCTAGTGGATCTACTTTACATCTGGGGCAAAGTGCACGACTACGCCGCTCCTCCTTGGTTTGGGTCTTTCCTCCAGTGGTTCTGGTTCTCCTCCAACGGCACCCTGGGAATGATGATCACCGGGTCGGAGAACCTCGCCATTAAGCTCTCTAGGAGGCGAGGCAGCACAGAGTTAAGACACAAAGAAAAAGACAAAAACAAAGAGACACAAGATGAAGCATTTCTCAGAGGCCAATCACAAAGCATTCTGCTGAGTTGAGTTGAGCACCCTGTGACTACTCATATCAGAGGGCAACATTACACTGCTACTGTGGGAATGTGAAGCTCAGTCTCAGAACTGGTTTCTTATCACTTCAAACCTAAAATAGCACCAAAAAAAACATAGTTCACCTGCCTACCTTCCTCAATTCCAAACAAAAGTTAACAATCAATCAAAGTTAGGATTTTGTGTTATGTTCAGATCAATAAATAGCCACTGCTCTCCGAGTTTGAATCCAATCTGTCAGCTGAAACCTTCTCAGACTAAAAGCTAGAGCAATGGGAATAATGAGAGTCTAATGAGAGTCTCAGGGTGTTCAAGGATAAACAGCCACAGGACATTCAGGATTACTGTAAAATGAAACTTGAGGGGACTAAAACATGCACTTACTATCTTCTCCAGTAGCAGAACTGGCTCTCTCCAATGCTAGAACTACTGTACCTCCTCACTCTATTCCGACCATGCACCCCAATAAACATTGAATCGACATATTTTCAATAAACAATTCAGATTTAGTATCAAGTCTAGCCCATATAAAATAACCACACATTTGGTAATACTGTATAACATTTGGATTACAGGTCCCACTCAGACACCATAACAACATTACATCAAATGATCAAAATGATCAAACCAAAAAGGATAACTATGTGTTATTATAAACATATATCTGTAGGTGTGTTTACCCACAGGTTTATTAATCATTTCAATATAATCACACTGGTAACATGCGTGTAATTACGATATACCTTTGATATAATATCAAATAATGTTATATCAAATAATAGTGGTTGCATGGTAGGGCTAATCCAGTTGCTCTAAAAATAAAAAACGATGGGCGATCTCTAGTCATCTGTGTGAATAATTCAAAAGTCACATTTTACTACACAGCCATGCAATTTGTTTAGCCTTGACCTATTTATTCTAACCACGAGCAATAAATGGATCTAGTATCTTCTAGTAGCTCAAGGAGGGATTCCAAGATGGTCTGGAATATAGACATTCTACTACAACAAGGCAGACCCAAGGCCTCCTTAAGAGAGGAACCTTAAGGAGACATACGTACATTATAGGACATGACAGCCACACACTCACACAGACAGACAGCCCCACACACTCATTCCCCTACTCTAGTTTCCATATGGAAGAGAAATAGAGGAGGGATCTGACCTGGTGGGAACTGTATCGGAGTACAGAGATTTTCAACACAAAACTGTGCCATTATCAAATATCAAAGAAATCATAACTTTGAAATACATCTTATGAGCACATATGAATGACAATGAGAGATTTGTGGCTTGCGGCAGCTGGGTGTGTTTTTAGGTTACCTTGGAATGGGTAGTGCACAGCCCCACAGGTGTTGCTTTAGCGTCTGCACCCAGCCTGTATCACGGATTGGCTGACAGAGCTGTATGTAGTGGTACTGTTTTAGCACAACCCTTCAAATGAATCAGAATGTCACTCATTAGGTTTTCTAGAGGTAGGACTTCACCTTGCACAGCATATCCAAATGTGATATCCTCGAAAAGCTAATCACGATACCAGATAAAGCTGGAAAATACAGTAATTACATGATTATAATGATTTTAGAAAATATATCCAAATGTCACACATTTGTTACACCCAAAGAAATAACATTTCATAAATCATTACATTGTGCGCATTTGTACAGTTTGTTGGCCCAGTAAATACATGACATCTAATTCTGGAATAATGTTCTACCCATCCTTAACTTGCATATTGCTATATAATTTGGGCGAGGTCTTTGAATATATTGGGACACATGATGCAAAATAATAATATATTCCTCACATAATGTAGCAGCAATATGCAAGCCCTTGGAAGGATGTCAGAACTCATGCCAGAATGTCTTTGATAAGCGCCAAAGAAAACCTGAAGGCAAAATTCTCTTCCATGTGGATTCACTCACTAAAAAGCATCTCATGTCTCACAAAGACACAAAAAGATTTCAACAAATACCTGCAACCACAGTTCTTTCACCCTCCTCCTCCTCCATACGTTTCAACACAAAGAACCAAGAGGACACAGCTTTTTCTGCTTTTCATTTATTCATAATATTTCAGTAAATAGGAGCAAGCAGAGAGAAATACAAGCACGTCACAGTAAAATATTTGTGTCCAATACATACTATAACTTTTTTGTACCATTATTACTTTCTATTCTTTGTTTGTTTCTTATGCTTGGATAAATAGCACCGGGTGTGTTGTGTGTCAGCACTTTACATGTATGACCCCCCGACCCCACTCCCTGTGTTACGAGAGAAAGTGTCCCCCCCTCCCCAACAAAATGCTGCAAAATGCTAATGAGATGGCCTTCACCCTCCGCTCTGTGGGCACATGCTCAGTCTGAGCGGAATATGGCATGGTGGTTCATTGTGACATACTAACTCAAGACACCACCATGGCAAATGGAGAGACAACACACTCCAGTATTCAAAATGGAGAGGAGGCAGCCAGTGGGCTCTGACTAGCACAACAGATGACAACAACACAAGAGAGAGACTGGGGAGTGTGGGGAGGTGGGGGTGGCCCATGACAAGACAAGTCCTGCTCAGCACAATGCATTGCTCTATTGTGGTCTATTCCATCCCAGGAATCTGAAATGCTGTTCTGGTCTTTACTACTGTCTGCTAAGACACAAGTAGACATGTGTAGTAGCTTACTACTACTTACAGCCAATAGAGCTCTACTGGCACTTTACAGCCAATTCAAAGGGGATTAGTCTAACTTGATTAATTTTGACATAATGAGGTTTACGTTTGTAATACAGATAACTTTCCTTGCTCGCTCAATTTATCCCATTCAAGAAACTGCATACATATGCAGAAGTATGATACAAATGTAAACCAAATATAACATTTAGTTTAGCTGCTTGTCCTAATTCAATCAAATCACATGTGAGAATATCAAGTCATTCTACATTGGTAGCCTATGCCTACAATACTTAAATTGCCATAGAAGGCAGCAGAGGAGAGATTGATTTGGAGTTGAATGCATTTAATATAATCTTGACATCTACATGTAATCTTCTCAACCTAATGAAATCCACATACACACACACACACACACACACACACACACACACACACACACACACACACACACACACACACACACACACACACACACACACACACACACACACACACACACACCTGGTCCAGGGAAGAGGCCAGTTGTTTGAGGCCCGTGTTAGACAGAAACGTAGAGACTCAACATGCATAAACCAGAAACAAAGACAGAAACAAGTCCAGAAAAAGAAGCATTCCAAACGGTCAGCATTCAACTTACCATAACATCACAGGCACATTTTGGGGGGTATATTACAATAAAGGTATTAGCAGAAGTAATTAGTGTTTTATACCCAAATAAATAGATGAATAAATAAAACAATAAATAACATATAATGATAAAACCATAAATCTGCTGAAAGAGACAAAGAGTTTTGACTAGTAACATATCCTGCCAGACACCTCTTTAGACCTCTGGGATGTGAATATTGTTGTTGGCTTCTCCCATCTGCTAGTTCCCATGGGGGCCTAAATATTCATGTTGGTTACAGTCAACCATGACTCCCTGTGTGTGTGTGTGTGTGTGTGTGTGTGTGTGTGTGTGTGTGTGTGTGTGTGTGTGTGTGTGTGTGTGTGTGTGTGTGTGTGTGTGTGTGTGTGTGTGTGTGTGTGTGTGTGTGTTATAGCTACATAGAGTCTGTATGGCCTGGGTGAAAGCATAGCTAAAGACCATAGAGCCACAATATCAATTTCCTATCGTGACACAGTGAAATGTAACGTAGTTATTAAAATGGCTAATGTAATTATAATTGCATGATAGTAACATTTAATTCAGTGGATATTCTCATCTGCTGTGCAAATGACTGGTCTAGTAATGCATAATCATGTTACAATAACCCAGATGGCTCCCAGCTTGGCAACAAGGTTGATGAAACAAGGTAACCTTGTCTGACCTTTAAAATAACTTGATAAATGAATTTGACTGCGAATAGGAAGAACAATTTGAATGAGAGGGTATGAGGTTTTAAATGTTGTCCTGACAATTATTTGTTCAAAACCATTTCCACGTCATCCACAATCAACATAGTTATTAGGTTTACAAAATTAGACATTGCATACAAGAATGATGGCAAAGTTTAACAAAGCATCTTAGTAATGCCAATCTGATAACAGACAGACTTGGAGCCCCATGTGCACAAGAAGACAGCATTCAGGAAATACAGAGCAGGCACAAACTCATCCATGGATCGATACACTCCAAGCTGCACATTTATCAAAGATTTTCAGACTGTTATCCTAGATGAGCATCTACTGTATCTTAGCATACATTTATAAATGTATCTTTGCATAAATTTGAAAGTTACAGCTACAGAAATCGAGTCCATTGAGTGAACCAATTTTCATGGTCTTCTCATTCCCAAAAATCCTTGATAAACTCAACAAAGCAATCTGATCAGTTGGAAGATGGAAGCCAACCACACAGGATTGCTAGTTGGTGGGCTCATGCAACAATAGCACGCGCCATTCATTGGCTAACCAGGCAGCCAGTAGCCATGGCAACCTTGAGATGGAGACGTGGAGAGTGGGGGGTGGTGGGTGGCATCGGGGAGCAGAGGAAGCAGATGCACACGCCTACTTGTTCCTACGGTGATCTAATGTAATGTGAGGCGGGGAAGCAACGACATGTCATGTCCCAACCCTGACATTTACTGTAACTACTTCTAACTTAGCCAAGAGGCAGAGAGAAGAGAGAGAAAGAGAGTGAGAGCGAGCGAGAGAGAGAGAGAGAGAGAGAGAGAGAGAGAGAGAGAGAGAGAGAGAGAGAGAGAAAACATAAAAGGGGATGAGAACCTCTAATTAATTTTGCAGCCTTCGTTGTCTTTCCCCCAAAGAAGAATAAAAAGTAGTGCTAAATGATTTTTACTCTTTTGCCTCAGCCAGTTTGTTGTTCATCTCTTTACTTTTCTCCTTGTCCCCCTCCGCAGGCCTGGACTCAGTGGGCTGGTTCTCAGAGGTCGTCTTCTTGGTGCCCCGCAGTGCTGTGCTGCCCGGCTGCTTCTGCTCTTTGGCCTTCTTGACAGGTTTGCCCCCCTGACTAGCTACCGTGGTGCCTGCCTTTTTGGGTTTGGATCGGGGAGCCCTGTTAGACCTCTCAACCTAGGCACAGGGGATGGGGGAAGATGGAGATTCTTTATATATTCCATCACCCAAGACATTAGCAGCGGGTTTAAATGACTCTGCAAAGAGCTGTAACTGTCCTCAGTTTGATATTGTGTTTGCTTCAGTATTACTGATATGATTTGCCATCACAACATACACAGTAAACAGAACAGCAGCCCTCCAAGAGAAAGATTCTGTCATTACAGTGAGTTTGAAAATGCACTCTACAAGGCTGTGGTTCTGAATAGGAGATTAGCTGCATTATGGCTGGACCATGGGAGTAGTCAATAGGACATGATCTTAAAGGTTCTCACCTTGGTCTCTTGTAGCCCTTTGTAGGGCTCATTGTACAGGCTGCGTATCCTCCTCCTGTCCACAGGCTTGTTGTCGTTGGGCTGCTGCTTGCTCTGCTCTCCCCTGTAGGTGGCGCTATAGCTGGTCTCCAGGCTGGTCTTCTCATCAGGGGGAAGGTACTGGGACTTGGCTCGGATCAGCTTCACTGGCTTCACATCCCTGTGGGCTTTGAACTCAGTCCTATGAGAAGAATCAGCGCCAAATACAGTCAGTAAAATAGCTCTCTTCACATTTCAACCTACAATCTATTTATAGACAGGAGAGAAGACTAAATCTGTATTGTCCCAAAGGGCAATTTGTGTTGTAGTATGTAGGCATTAAAAAAAAACATGAAATATGAAGCAGTCACATACAAACAAGTACATTGACATAGAACGGGCAGCGATCCCCAAAGCACTGTTTGGATATAGAAATAGATGTAGTGGAATGACTGGGTCTCTCCCACAGTATGAGTGAGTGGGTGTGTGTAATGTATAGGAGCTGGGTGGTGACTGCGCCAGGCAGCCAGCGGCTCAGGTGTTTAATATAGTCCAGACACAGCTGTTTTTCAGAAGGTCAGGTCCATAGTGTTCACACAGAACAGCCTGACCTCCAGTCTGTCTCATAAAGGGGTTCTGTACAGCCAACCTCCAGACACATCCAAGAGCAATTAGAGATAGGCATCAAAGTGAGATCTGTTCACTATCAATTCTCTAGCAGGTATATAAACGAACATGTTGCTACTAATTGGAGTTTTAGATTGAACTGCCCGTCATAGATAAAGTTGATTTTAAAAGTTGTAATGGATTTTGAACTCATAAAAGCAGACCTAATTTTCCAGAAATGACTACATGATAGTCTTCCACTGATGGGCAGCTGAAGGCTGGGACATGGCATATTAACTTATACTCACTTAATTTATTGGGAGGTCAGGTGGAAACATATTAATTCATTATACATAACTTCCCCATCCCTTTCCCACTGCTCCTCCATACTATCTTACCAGTGTATAAAATGTTTAAATTTTTCTGCCGATTGAATTGGCTTTTCACAGTGTATTTCCTTCCTTGCCAATGTCCATTGTTCATGCGACTAAGGTAGCAAACACCAAATGAAAACAGATGACCCCTGCCCTGGACAAGGACAAACTACCTGTCAAGGCTCCCCAGTGACCCCATTCTGTGCAGCAGGACACCCCAACCCCCAACCCCCAACGCCCTGCACAACCACACAATATACACCCCTACCCTTACAGCCACATTGAAAAACACTGCATAGATCCAACAAAGAATAAAAGACCACAGTGAAAAACTCAATGTTCCCGCTGTGGACTACAGCAGTGAAGGGAGGAGGGGATTAGGTAACACTATTACTGGCCTGGATAGAGGAGGCAGCCCAGTCAGGCTCAAGTACTACATACCCAGTTTAACAATTAAGCTGCTGCTGAAGATCACGTAGAAAGATATGAAATATATCACACTATAGCTCAACCCATGGCAGCTAATGTAGCATGGCCATTAATGGATGACGAGAAGGCTTAAGTAACAGCCAGCCAGCCAGCCTTAAAGACCATTATGTGTGATACAAATGAATTTCAGGCTGAAAATAAATCACACTGTATCTGTAGCTGTCTCTTTTCCATCACAGTATGAATCAAAGTTGGGTCCATACCGCAAAGATCCTCTTGTAATAGGTTGTCATGGGATAGAATGTGGGTGGAGAAAAACAACAGAATGTGTGGTGATAAGGAGAATGCCTCAAAGAGAAAACGATCTGCATTCTCTTATTCTGAGAACAATGGAACATAATCTGCTCTGCCTTCAAACCACAACTAGGGCTGTGGCGGTCATGATATTTTGTCAGTAGGTGATTGTCAAGCAAATAACTGCCGGTCTCACGGTAATTGACCGTTAATTAACATAAACACATTTAGCATCTCCTGGCTTCCACGCATAGCCTACAAGCCACTGATGCAGACCTTTGGAACATCTACATTTTAAAAACTCTAATGAATCCATGTAATATAGCCTACACCATCACAATAAATCCATTATTTGTTTTAGACCAGTCTGAAGAAAATGTAGTCTATTTCAGAAGAACAGAATAGTATACTCTGAGTTGTCCTTATATTAGGCCCTGATCTGGCTATGCCATATGGTGGGGGCTACTCTAGTTCATTTAGCAGACAAGATTTGTTGGGCTATATGTTTAGATTTTTAATACATTCTAAGGCTACATGATGCGACTCTAATGATGATTTGAAAAAAGTTGCATGAAAGGCATGAGCTCTGCTTAGTTTTTTTGCGCAGGCTGTACACACTTCATCAGTCTCTCATTCACAATTTGACAAGCACTTGATAATGCCTTGAATTTCCCAGCTGCATCCCCTTTGTGTGGCTGTTGTGCCCTTGGGCTGAATATAATAATTATGATTCCCTTCTCCCGGCTGCATGCCGAAGCACATTTCACTCACATGGCCCTCCATCACGTGATCAGGTCTTTCTCACAAGCTACAAGTGAAGACAGACACATCTGGAACGCAACTGCGCGCGTCCTTATCCAATTCCGAGGCGCATATTGAAGATATTGGAAGAACTGTTCACATTTACTTTTCGTCAGCCAACAAGATGAGTAGGCCTAACGAACAGCAAAAGCACTAGCCTATGTCAATCTACTATCCCCCATAGTACAAAAGTTGACCTATTCTATTCTGTGCGAGAAATAAATATTCCAAACATAGTCTGGGACAGTTGTTGGATGCGATAGATCCCAAATTAATATAACCACTAGCATCAACAAAACTTTTTAAAGCAATGAGCCTGACACAACAGATCAGAACGTTTAGTTTAAAATGTTGATAAACTATTAGGCTAGTTCTTCACATTACAAGCACAGCAATGCGCACACGGCAGTAGGCTATAAGCGCAAGTGTTCCATTAGCCGGAAAACACCATTCTCAAAAGTGACCACAAATGCGATTATGCATGTGATGCTTTTATTATAAAGGTGCATTTGTCACGCCCTGGCTCTGGGGACTCTTGTATGTTGAGCCAGGGTGTTAGTTTCGTTGTGTAGTGTCTATGTTTCGTTTTCTATGTTCATATTCTAGGTTATGTATTTCTATGTTGGCCGGGGTGGTTCTCAATCAGAGGCAACGAGAATCAGCTGTTGCTTGTTGTCTCTGATTGGGAACCATACTTAGGCAGCCGTTTGTGCTTTGTGTTTCGTGGGATCTTGTTCCGTGTAGGTTTGTGTATGACCGAGGACTTCACGTATCGTTTGTTGTTTTGTTGTGTTATTGTGTTGATTAGTACACTATTGAAAAGATGTACGCATTTCACGCTGCGCCTTGGTCCACTTTTCATGACGATCGTGACAGAAGATCCCACCAAAACAGGACCAAGCAGCGTGTCCAGGAGCAGACAGCCTGGACTTGGGAGGAGATCTTGGACGGGCAGGGGTCCTGGACTTGGCCGGGATGGATCGCCGTCCGTGGGAGGAGACGGTAGAGGCGCGCCATAGAGAGGAGCAGCGGCGCCAACCGGGTCGACGTCGGACACGCAAGAGGCAACCCCAAGACATTTTTTGGGGGGGGCACACGGCATGGACGACGGGGCTGCTGGAGGCAGCTACAGGGCGAGTTTGGGGATTAGGAGGCCACCGGGTTTGGGGGGCTGGAAGGGAGGTTGGCGGAGCCTAGAGGTAGAGCAGAGCCAACTCCCCGTACTCAGGCTAGGCAGCGTGAGACTGGGCAGGTTCCGAAGTATGCAGAGCTGCGTACTGTGCCGCGAGTGGTCCGGCACAGTCCGGTACATCCTGTGCGAGCACCACGCACGTGTCGTGCTAAGGTGGGCATGCAGCCAGGACGGAGTGTGCCGGCTCAACGCTCGTGGCCTCTAGTACCCCTCCTCGGTCCCGGATATCCTGCGCCAGTGTCATGTGCTGTAGTGCCAGTACGAGTACACAGCCCTGTACGTCCTGTGCTGATGCCTCACACAGAGTGTGTAGAAATAGGCATTCAGCCAGGACGGGTTGTGTCAGCTCTTCGCTCCAGACCTCCAGTCCGTCTCCACAGCCCGGTCCGGCCTGTTCCTGCCCCTCGCACCAAGCCTATGGTGCGCGTCGCCAGCCCGGCCCGGCCTGTTCCTGCTCCCCGCACCAAGCCTATGGTGCGCGTCGCCAGCCCGGCCCGGCCTGTTCCTGCTCCCCGCACCAAGCCGATGGTGCGCGTCGCCAGCCCGGCCCGGCCTGTTCCTGCTCCCCGCACCAAGCCGATGGTGCGCGTCGCCAGCCCGGCCCGGCCTGTTCCTGCTCCCCGCACCAAGCCTATGGTGCACGTCGCCAGCCCGGCCCGGCCTGTTCCTGCCCCTCGCACAAAGCCTGTGGTGCGCGTCGCCAGCCCGGCCCGGCCTGTTCCTGCTCCCCGCACCAAGCCAGTGGTGCGCATCGTCAGCCCGGTCCGGCCCGTTCCTGCTCCCCGCACCAAGCCAGTGGTGCGCGTCGTCAGCCCGGTCCGACCCATTCCTACTCCCCGCACCAAGCCAGTGGTGCGCATCGTCAGCCCGGTCCGGCCCGTTCCTGCTCCCCGCACCAAGCCTGTGGTGCGCGTCGTCAGTCCGGCACAGCCCGTGCCTGTTTCACCTGTGCCTGGTCAGCTGCTCCACACCGGAGCCTAAGCAATCCGCTCCACCGATGTCCAGTCCAGCTCCAGCCAGCGGGACCAGACCAGGGGCACTACGGGGGGGTTGTTAGAGGGTGGTGGTCACGCCCGGAGCCGGATCCGCCTCCGAGGTGGAATGCCCACCCGGCCCCTCCCCCTGTTAGGTTTATGTTGGCGCGGTCGCAGTCCGCGCCTTTGGGGGGGGGGGGTACTGTCACGCCCTGGCTCTGGGGACTCTTGTATGTTGAGCCAGGGTGTTAGTTTCGTTGTGTAGTGTCTATGTTTCGTTTTCTATGTTCATATTCTAGGTTATGTGTTTCTATGTTGGCCGGGGTGGTTCTCAATCAGAGGCAACGAGAATCAGCTGTTGCTTGTTGTCTCTGATTGGGAACCATACTTAGGCATCCGTTTGTGCACTTGTGTTTCGTGGGATCTTGTTCCGTGTAGGTTTGTGTATGACCGAGGACTTCACGTATCGTTTGTTGTTTTGTTGTGTTATTGTGTTGATTAGTACACTATTAAAAAGATGTACGCATTTCA